AGTTTGATCCCTGGTACAAGGAAAAAAAAAAAAAAGCCAAGCTAGGGGGATAAAATAAATAGCTACAAATATTTCCATTTGAAATTCACTCCAAAGAAAATTTGGAAGATGCAAAGCTCAAGGTCACATTCTACATGCTCTGCAAGAGAATGATTTAGAAAATTTTCTTCTTGAAATTTCTTCTCATGAAATTTTTGTAATAAGTTTTTGTGATGACCAAAAAAAAATCCACTTTGCTTAATAAATATGAATGGCTGTTTTATTCAGTCCCATGAGTCCCCAGAATGCTCTTATCAAATCAAATCTTAGCACTGTTACCTCACATTAGTGCTCATCACAAAGGCATCATGAAAATTTGTGTGATCTTTCCAAAGAAAAGTCTCTGGCATATAAACTTCATACTTTCCCATTTTTCAGAGTGTTCAGCTATTGCTCACTCCTTGCAATTATACCTTCCCTTACACATCCTTCCAAACCAGCTCAGCCCAACACATTGGTCTTTCCAGGTTTGTTTCTGTTCCCTGTAAACTCTGCCCACACCACCCTGTACCACACGCTATATGCTTATGGTGGTGATCTATCTTATTAATAACTGCTATTTAATGAAAGCCTACAATAAGAGCGGAAGTGTATACTTGCTAAATAGGGTGAACATAAAATTTACCATTGAAACGAAACATTTTTGAAAGCGAGATGGAGTGTTATTTAGCAATCACACTGGGACACCAGGCATACCCTATTGATGTGATAGTCTGCCAGCATTAGTGTAGGCTGGTTTATTTGATGCCTTTTCAAACTCACTTCTCCCTCCTCCCTCCCTCCCTCTCTTTCCTCCTCCTCCTCCCCGTCTGTCTCCATCTCCTTCTCCTTTTTGGTTGCAGAGGTTGGAAAGCCCAGCCTCTCTCTTTCCCTCACAGATAAGTGTGGCCAGGAGATATGGTTTTGGGCAATGAGTCCTTACTGAAGGTTTTCTGAGAATATGGGCCTTCCTGTTAAAAGGGGACAGTTGCAGCTAGCATTGCTCCCTTCTCCTTCCTGTGTGTAGGACTCTGATGACCCCTAAAACAAAGCTCTCAATGGCCTATCCTGACCTCTTCTTCTGAAAGAAAAAGAAACTTCTAATGAAGTAGAAATTTTCTGTTACTTACAACCAACAGTATTCTTAGAATAGTTATTATTGTATTCTAATTTATATATACAATATATTCTCTACTCCTTACAACAGCCCTAAAAGATACTTCTTGTTATCCTCATTTTGCAGGTGAAGAACTTCAGGACTTAGTTAGCTGTCTGAAGTTGTACAGGTAATGAGAAGCCAAGATGGATTTCAAGCCCAGGCCTGTCCAACGGAGTCCACGCCTCACACAGCAGACACCTTCCCTGCTCTTCTGACCTGGAACTGCACGTGTCATAGTCAATCCCTCTGAACAAGGATTGCTAGAAAGTAGGAGGATGAAAATAGGTCATTTCTCTGCTGTATCCCTGCCTTCTCCCCGACCCTAAGCAAGGTGCTCCCTGCTTACTCGTTTATGGAATACTCCACTAAAGTCAAGATGAAATGACCAATTTCGAAAATATTATTTTTAAGCACCTTCCCCTTTACACTTGGTCTAGAAACAGTGTAGATAAGACTAAATCTATGGCCCCTGGACTAGGTAGATACATAACTAGATAATTTAAATGTGACAAACAAAGCACTAAGCTGGATATAGACACAGAAAGTGTGAGTGCCCAAAAAGGGCACCTGGAGAAATGAGGCCCTAAGGAATGTGCAGGTGTGGTTAAACTAGGGAAAGATAAGGACCTGGAGAGCAGGGAAATAAAAAGTAAATTTTTCTGAACTACTGAATTTGACAAAATCATACAACATGACCTCCTCTCCTTTGGTGAAATTTCAGAAAGCCTTAAGAGAACCCTACAAAGTTCTAGAGACAAAATAGCCTTCCTGCAGTTAGAATTGTGACTGAACTTTTCAACAACACTGGAAGTTAGAAAACAATAAATCAGTATCTTCAGAATTTTGCAGGAATTAATTTCCAACTAGAATCTTATAACTAAGTAAAGCATCAAGTGAGTGAAAGATATTTTTAGAGCCTGTCATGGTGGTGCCAGCACTGGGGAGGCTGAGGCAAAAGGATCACTGTGAGTTCAAAGCCAGCCTGGGCTACATAGTGATTTCAAGGCCAGGGTGAATAACAAAGTGAGACCCTGTCTCAAGAAGCCCCCCCCAAAAAATGTTGCAATTACACAATTAAATACATCTATAAATTATCTCAACTAAATGATCCCAAGAAATAGAGATGTAGAAAATTTCATGGTGGCCTCAGAAAAGGTAGCTCTGTTGACTTGGAGATAAATGGGAATGCTGCTGTCTCAGTCAGGCCTTCTAAGGGTTCTCTAATAACTCACCAGATTTTGCTTAACAGGTATGTAGAGCTCATTGGAAAAGTATGAATATTCTCAAGGAGGATGATGATGAAGAGTGATGGTCTTTAGATTCCTGTTCTGCAACTTGATTTTTCTCCTGTGTACCTCTCTTTACACTTAACATTTTCCTTTTTACTCTTTCCTTTATTCTGTTTTATGTTCATTTGAGATTTTTTTTTTCCCACAGCTTTCTTTTTTCTGTTTTAATTCTTCCCACCAGCCCCAGGCTATCTCTCTTCTCACCTTCATTTTCTCTAAGTCTTGGCTGATACACATGTTTATAGAACTGGAAGGTAGTTTTAATTTTTTTGTCTCTAAATTGTCCAAGTAGTTAGCTGAAGTCACTTGTCTTTTGAATAATATGTGCCCATCAGTAAAAATGGGTATTTCTCAGATGCTATAATTGGCTGAGCTAACCTTGAAGTTGCTGAAAGTTACTGAAGAATTTGATGCACTTAATTCATGTTGCAGACTATTAACTTCATTAAGTAATTTGAATCTTCTCTTGAAGTTTCTAACTTCAATTCCAATAAAAATGACAAGATATACATACCTCTATGAATGTAAAATATCTTGTACCTGCTTTATGATATATAGTAGGGACCGTGCTTTATCATAGCTACATTTAATGATATTACTCTAGAATGTTCCCTTTCCAGATGATGATTAAGATGCTAATAAAAAAAAATGGTGCCAGGTACCACAACAGCAACACTAACTTCAATTCCAATAAAAATGACAAGATATACATACCTCTATGAATGTAAAATATCTTGTACCTGCTTTATGATATATAGTAGGGACCGTGCTTTATCATAGCTACATTTAATGATATTACTCTAGAATGTTCCCTTTCCAGATGATGATTAAGATGCTAATAAAAAAAAATGGTGCCAGGTACCACAACAGCAACAGAACTTTGCTACAACTTTGCTATTTTCTGGATATTATTCTTTTGTTTTTTTGTTTTGTTTTGTTTTTAATGGAATGTGCTGAATGTCTATAATTTTGTTCAGATGACTGCAGAACCTGGAATAGCTATTGCTGCTATCAATGTATAACATACTATTATTAGTCTTTTATCATCCCAATTTACTGTGTTGAGTTGGCATTGTACAGAAATGGACAGCCATATTGGTCTAGAAATGTTAATTTTTTAAAATTTTTTTTTCCATGTGCACAGGGGTAACACATCGTACTAAATATGTAAGGTCATATCTACGTGGGTTTAATTACAGAAACTAATAAAATATTCTCTAAATAATGAAAAAAAGAATAAGATAAGACTATAAGAGCAAGAAGCAATTTAAATATGTTTGGAGACCATTTTCATCTCCAGAATTAAGTATTATTTTAATGTTACATTATTGCCTTTTCTCTTTTACTTTCCTTTTTAGTTTTATTTTAGGATTCCCTATTTCTAATGTTCATACAGAGATTTCTTTAACTGAAATACTGAATAGTTTCTTTGTGGTGAAAAGCTGTAATAGCACACAGGATCCTAATGAGATAATTAATAATGTGAAATAGGAAGTAAAGGGCTAAAGATGTAGGGAAAGTGGGAAGGGTGGGGGAAAGGTAATAAGGGAGAGGGGAAAAATATGAGAAACTGAAAAAATGGAAATAAAGTGTTTGTAAATGGGGAGGGGAGGGGGGGTGAAGGGAGGGCAGGGACAAGGGGAAAAAATGAGAATCAAGACCTATTATGTAAAGGTACAGAATCCCAATGATGAATGTAACTGTATTGTATACCTAGATTGTACCAATAAACTCAATAAAAAAATGACAAGATATAGATTTAATTAGACAAATTTTAAAAAGTTTGTCTTCTCAACAACTGAAAATCAGCCAGAGAAGGCTCTTTAATTCTAGAGAAATAAAGTGATTAGATTCAAAGAATAAAATTGGATTTAAAGATATATTGGATTTTAGGTTTCTCAAAATGGAACTATACATGTGGGTGAAAATATGAATCTACTATCATAAAATACTTGCATTTCTTCTAAGAAGGTCAGTGTGGGGGCTTTTAAATTTTTCCATCATGTTATCAATGTGTCAAATTGTTTATAGGATTCAAAGCTCAGGAACTGTGGATGCATAAAGAATTACAGTTCTTTAAAGGCACCAACATTTGCTAATGAAAGTATTCAAAATAGTATCACTGTCTGTCCCAACTTAAGCATTATTGACTAAAAATCTGTGTCTAAATAAGAACATAAAGGGCTATCTGTAGTTAATACTGAGAAATTTAGATTTCATACAAACCTACCTTTAAGTGCAGTTTGGTTACTAGAAAAAAAAAAAAAGTCACATACCACAAACGAAATATCCAAGCCACATTTTTTCTTAACACAGAAGGAGGCCTCTCTGAAGGTTTTTCCAGGCTTACCACTTAACAGTGGGCAAGCCAAAAATAAACCCATGAGGGCTTTCCTGAGCAAATTCAACACACACCAAACACCAGAGGGGGGGGCTCGGCTTTTCCCCCCAGTGTCCTCTCCTGGGACCTCCCATCCACACTCCCCTCATCTCCTAATTAGAAAGCTCATTAGGATTCCAAATGTAAATGCTAAATGGAGACGAGGTCTGGTTCCAGGCCAGGATTACTTGAACATGAAATATCATCCAGGTTAGTGCCCTGCGTGTGGGAAGAGAGCTGAGTTTCCATGACTGCTTGGGCCATCTGAAGGGCTGGAGGGCAGGGTTTCCCCTCATTTGTCTGAGAAAATATCTGTTGTACAAATCGCAAACTTTGAAGACAAAATAATTTTAAAAAAATCATGGCTTGTGTTTGAATACAAGTATCTTTTAATAAATTCAATTATCACTATGGCGACATGAGGAAACACAAGAAGTTCCCCTGAAGAACAGTTGCTGGTCCCAGCTAAGCAGCCTCTCAATTGTGTAGGGCGACTTCTTCAGTTACCATGGCAACCAAAATTAGAAGGGCTTCTGCAACACTAACAGAAACCATCTTTTGAAGTGCTTCTGTGAATCATATTGAATACTGATGATGCAAGCTTGTGTGATACATATTTTTTGAAAACCAAATTACCATAAACAAATACTCGTTTAAGATTCCATTTGAAATCTTTCTTAACTCGGAACACAACACCCCCACCCGGCTTTCTTTGCTTTGCTTAGCGGCCTGGAGTGCAAATGCAATTTGTTTAATTTCCAAACTTGTCTGAATTACACGGGTGAGAGCTCAGAGTGTGATTCATTCGCTCTCATTTTGAAATGGGATGAGGAGCGAGGCGGGGGAGGGTGGTCTAACAGAGAGCCCTCTTGTCTGCGAAACTGAAGGACAAAAACAGGATGGGGGGATAGAGAAGAAAGGAGGGGAGGAAAAAAGGAAAGGAAAAGAGTGCAGAAGGCTGTACCTAGATTGCCCCACTGAGGGCGGAGAGCTCCTTCATCTACCGCCGTGACCTGCCCATCTGCCCGTGTGTCCAGCGTGGATGCCGGTCGAAACCCGCGTTTTAAAGATTCTATTTCGATCCTTCCCTTCCTTGGTGGCATCGCGAGTCCTGGGAGGGATGTTCAAGAAGAGACGCTGCTCTTCTGTACTTTGCCCAAAAGAAGCATCTTTATCTGGGGATCGTCGTGGTGTGGGGTGCAGTGGGAGACACTCCTGACTAGGCCCACAGGCGCGAGCTGTCCTTTCCCGCACAGCCAGCCCGGCCTGCGTGGTGGGAGGTCAGCGGGGACTCAGCCCTCTTCACCAACTAACATCTTTGAGCTGGCGCCCTGGGCTTCCTTTCAACAACCCGGCCCGCACACTGCAAGGCTGGGCTTCACCCTGGACTCACGCGTGGGCGCGCACACACCCTTCTGCCCGTCCCACGCAGGTGACAAACGTACACAGGCCAGGTCCCGGCGCAGGACCAGCACACGCGCGGGCGCCTTGTCTCACACGGATCCAACCGAGAACCGCCCCAAGGAACGCCTAACCTTTTCGGGACGCCGCTTCGCTGCTGCCCAGGACAGAACCCGTCTCCCTTTCGTCCTGGGGTCCCCTGAGGAGGACGCCCCTCCCCAGCCACCCAGGTCTGAAGGTCGGCGGAGCAAGGCGGACGGGCTCGGGTCACCTGTGGCGAGTCCCACACTCCCTAGCTTACCTCCCACTTCGCAGCTGGCCGGGAGCGCGGTCTGGCGTGGGGTACCGGGCCCAGGAGTCAGGTCGAGCCCCAGGCTCCCAGAGGTGTCAGGGGCGGCCCGCCCCGCCCACGCTGCACGGGGCAGACCCCGCCCTGCAATCCTCCGGCTTCAGCCCTCAGCCGCTGGAACCAGGCTCCCAGCAGCGTTTCCCGAAGGACCAATCCGGAGCAGGGGGCTGGCCCGGGGGGGGGCGCCCCGACTAGGGCCCGGACTTGGCCGGACGGTTGCTATGGCAGCAAGGCGGGGGAGCGGAGGGAAGAAGGGAGTGTGGCGCAGGGACACCCACTGGGAGTCTCGGGGAGGAGAGTCGGGCCTGCGGACAGAGGATCCCTCCTAGGGCGTGGATGGGAAGCTGGTTTAACACAGCTCAGATCAATTTAATACCTAGGGCTGTGCCACTCGGCTCTTTGGCGATGCTGTGTACTTCGGAGACAGCAGTGACCCAGTCGGTAATCCTCCCAACAGAACGGGGGTTTCTAGCAGAGAACCAACAGCTCCTCGGGTGAGTCTGGCAGGGTTTAGGTTCTGCAGAAAGAAGTGCTAATGTCACCCTCTGCCTGGATCCCTCCCTTGCACGTTGTCAGGCCGGGGTTCTCAGGCTGTTACTTAGATCATGACTCCCTAATTTGCCTCCTCATAGCTTTGACAGAGTAATGATAGATACCAAATATTACTGTGCCACTTTACAAATAAGGAATCCATCAGTGGATTGAAATGTAGAGGTGAGAATGGAATTCACAGAATTCAAAAGTTTAAGCCCCTCATTTTACAGAAGGGGAAGCTGAAGGCAGAGGTTAGTTGACTTGGCAAGTCACACAGCTGGTTAATGGCAGAGCCAGGACTAGACACCTTACATAGTTGTTCTGTGGTCACTCTTTCCATTTCCTTGTGCAATCCTGTATTCAGGATTGCCAGGGCAATATTTACAAGAGAAACAAACCAAGTCTAAAATCCTTTTATGGTACAAATTAGGAAACACAAAGATCCTTCTTTTCACTGTTTGCCAGGCACTGTAATAAATACTTTTACAAAGAGTATCTGCCCAAATTCTCACAATAACCTGTGAGTGGGGTCCTATTTTGGTCGACAAAGGAATTGAGACCCAAGTGGGTATATGACTTGCTAAATGTCGCATAGCTGTAGATGTTGGTGCTGGGTCTGAAACCCAGGCAGTGTGATTCACTTTCTTCACAACTCTGCTGCGTCTTTTTGTGACGATTAAAGGGGTCAGGAACAGACAGAGCAAGAAACAAAACCTTGGACAGCTCCATGCACTGGCGTCTGGCAGGAGGAAAAGAACCTGAAATGATGGCTTCCTTGACTTATGAGAGTGGTCATTTGTGTAGACTAGAGATACTCTATGATAAACAACTGTCTATGAAGGGAAAGAAAACAGTATGTTCATTTAAAAAGAATAATCTTAGCCAGGTGTGGTGTTACGCACCTGTAATCCCTGCACTTGGAACATCGCTGAGAGTTCAAGGATCACTTAGGTTACAAAGTGAGTTCGAGACCATCCTGGAATACATGGCAAGACCCCATCTCAACAAATAAGCAAACAAGAAAGAATAATCTTAGCTGGCCATGGCGTAACGGCACTTTGGGAGGCTGTAGCAGGAGAATCACAAGTTGTAACCCAGCCTGTACACAACATAAGGAGAAACTGTATTTAAGTAAAAACTAAAAATGGGCTGGGGATGTCATTCAGTGTGAAAGTCCTGGGTTCAATCCCCAATACCACTAAATAAATAAATGCCTTTAAAATAGCATATGCCATCAGTCTAAGGCAGTAATAGGGTAAAATATTGCCTATTATTTAAAAATATGAAAGATCACTTGAATCCTACAGGACAATACAATGGATAAAATTTCATAAGAAAATGCCTAGTAACCAAATTCAGACTCCCAACCAAACCTGTCTCTGTGCAGTTCCTCACATTGTGCCCCCACAGAGAAAGGACAATTTCAAACTGCATTAGAAGTCACTTCTGCATTTGCCAGCTTTCATCCCAGGAACCCTCTGAACCCCCATTTCTCTGTATTCATGATGCCAGAGCCCGCTCCTCTCAAATCAGAACCTTCCTTCATGCCTTCTCTGCCTGGGAGTCCTGGGACTCTCTACCACAGAAGACTGACCTCTCACCAAATTCTGTTCACTGGGAAAAATCCTGATATTCTCCCGGAAGGGGGGCACTTGTCAATAGGCTGATTGCAATGTAACAACATAGAAATTAAAATGTTTTGTTTTTTTCTCCAGGTGTGGTGATGCACACCTGTAATCCCAGATACTCTAGAGCAAAGACAAGAGGATCAAAAGCTTGAGGCCAGCCTTGGAAACTTAGAAAGACCCTGTCTCAAAGAAAAAAACCAAAACAAAACTTTGTTTTGAGTAGTGAAGAAGTATCTTCCATGCAAGAAAAAATTTCAAAACAGAGTAATACAGATTTGTGATACATGTGTACATTAAGAAATGTTTTAGGCCAGGTGGTGTGGTGGTGCACACCTGTAGTCCCAGCGCTTGGGAGGCTGAGTCAGGAGGATTGCCTTGAGTTTGAGGGAAGCCTGAACAGCAAGACCTTATCTCAAAAGGAAAAAAAAAAGTATTTTAACTTACTTGGGCTTAAATTTCAGAAAAATATTTCCCAAAAGAATTTATGACACTGTAGACCTAAGAGACAGTGCAAATAAACCTATTACTATTGGAAAGCTCATTAAAATGTACTTTTCTAAAACCTCCACGTACATTCTTAAACACCAGATGACTTTATACAAAAGGTCTTGCTTTAAAAAACAGCAACAGGCTGGGCATGGTGGCGCACATCTGTAATCCCAGCACTTGAGAGGGTGAGGCAGGAGGATTGCTGTGAGTTCGAGACCAGCCTGGGCTACACAGTGAGTTCCAGGTCAGTCTCAACTACATAGTGAGACCCTGTTTCAAAATACCAAAAAAAAAAAAAACAAAAAAAAAAAGCAGCAAAGAGAGAAAAACCCAAAACAAAAAAGTGACAGTGGTTGAAAGTTTAGACTTTTGAGTCTACACCTTGATTTCCAGCTCTGCTATTTACTACCCATATGACACTCTTGATGCCAAGCATCTTTTAGGTTCAGTTTCCTTATCTGTAATCTGTGAGTTATGAGAATTAATGAGATGAAGCTTCTGGTAAATGATAAAAGAAATCTTTCTAACCTGGACCCAATAATCTTGGGAGGGTTGGTTCCTTAGGATCCTCTACTGAAAATGTGATAAAATATGCTCTTTTCAACAAATGTCTAATTATTTGGGACCCAGATATGGTCAAAATGTCCTCTACCAAGTTTATACACTTGGTACTAGTCAAGGGAACAAATAGAATTTCTACTTATTTCCTGGTCATTAAGTTGCCTGGTACACTTTCTGCCTACTGAATGTGAACCTGGACTATTTGTGGGGAGTCCCCAACCCCCAGTATTCCTTCCTCTTTTCTCAGATAGGGATATTTGACAAATCTTAGAAGAGGATGGAGACCAAACTTTTTTAAAGACTACATTGCTATACAGTTGAGGCTACAACTTAAAATGGCATAACCTATCCCAGATATTTTGGTGTCTCTATCTTGTTTAGGATCTGAGTGCTACCTAAATCTGAGAACTCATGTCTTTCAACAATTCAGAAATATTTTCAGGCAATGTCTTTGAGACGGATCCTTGTTAGACTGGACTGCTGTAGCAAATTTCCATAGCCTGGGAGTTGCAAACAACAAATACTTACCACATTCTGCAGCTGAAGCCTGAAATGAGGGTGCCAATATGGTCAGGGCCTCTTAACATTCTACAGACTGCAAAATTTTCTTTGTATCTTCATATAGCAGAGGGCAGAGCAAAAGAACTCGTTGGATTCTCTTATAATGACATTAAGTCTATTCATTATATTAGCTCTACTCAAGAATCACCCAAAGGCCTTACCTCCTGATACCACTGATGGAATTGGGAATTAAGATTTTAACATATAAATGGGAGGGTGGGTTTAGACATTTAGTGCATAACAAACCTCCCCCCTCAAAAGTATAGTAACTCTGGTTGGATATCATCATGTTGTGTCCAATCTTCTCATCTTACCTTGTGTTTTCTCATGTTTTATAGATTTTTACCGTCTGTGCCACATTCTAGACAACTGCTTCAGATCTATCTTCCATTTTGTGAATTTCCTCAGCAGGGGCCAACTGATAGTTTAAAACAGAATCATTTATTTGCAACTAGTATTTATCAAAAACCCCATTTTCCTTAACTTTATAGGAAACTTTTAAGAATACTTCTGATCAGGCCAGGGATTTAGCTCAGTGGTTCGGTGGCCTGCCTTGCAAGCGCAAGGACCCAAGTTCAATCCCAGGTAAAGAATACTTCTGATGTTGAAAAAACATTTATTTGAGCCAGGTTGAGCCAGGTGTCACAAGTTTTGAGTGCAGCCTGAGTAACTTAGGGAGATTGTCTCAAAACAAACAAAAAGGGCTGGGGATGTAGCTTATGTGAAGGCCTTGGATTGAATCCCCAGTGAGAGACAGACAGACAGACAGACAGGCAGGCAGGCAGACAGACAGACAGACACACACACACACAGAGGTGAAGGCCTTGGATTGAATCCCCAGTGAGAGACAGACAGACAGACACACACACACACACACACACACACACACACACAGAGGTGAAGGCCTTGGATTGAATCCCCAGTGAGAGACAGACAGACAGACACAGACACAGACACAGACACAGACACACACACACATACACACAGGTGAAGGCCTTGGATTGAATCTCCAGTGTGAGACACACACACACACACACACACAGAAAAGGGAGAGGGAAGAAAAGAAGAGAGGGAGGAAAGGAGGAAAAAGGCCCCAGTAATTTTGCATTTTAAGGTTTTAAATCTCTGAAATTATCATTGTTGTAGGAACTATATTCCAAACTTTAATTGAACAGGAAGCCAAGTATAGTAATTAGTTTGATACTTTTCTATACATGGCACTCATGTACTATTAACAAATAATGAATATCTGAAGGCTCTGGGTCCACTGATACTTAGCAAAATTACCTATTATGAAAAGTTCTTAAAAAAAAAAAAACAACCAGATTTGAATAAAATTACCTTTGATGTTAAGTCTTCAATAAGCACTAGTTTGTTTGACTAGAGTTCTGGACCCATGTTGTTCTCCTTAGTATTTAGCTGTATCAAAAGTTACAGGGCTAGGCCAGGGATTAAGCTCAGTGGTTCTGCTGCCTGCCTTGCAACTGGAAGGACCCAAGTTCGATCCCCAGTACCAAAAAAAAAAAAAAAAAAAAAAAAAAAAAAAAGTAACTATTGACACACAAGACATAAGTACTGTTCTCAAACAGCTAGTCTACCAGGACCCAAACCAAAGTTAATTATCAACTATTCTCCTAAATTAATTCATACATTGATAATTCTCAGCTGTTATTAGTTAGCATGTTATGTCTAAGAATATTTGTGTTATCAGAGGCAGTAAAACTATTCCTACTCAATTATTCTGATGTTTTTAAATGTCTTGTTCTCTAACATTTGTCTGACATTTTTATCTCAAAAACATACAAGCAGTTACCTACTGAAGATTAAAATGTTGACATAAAAATACCCACAATTTCTTAGTCCATTTATCACAATGTAAAGCCAATGCTGACAACTGGCAGCAAAGAAGATATATTTGTGGTAGTACCTACTGAGAGCGAGAGAAAGAGAGAGAGAGAGAGAGAGAGAGAGAGAGAGAGAGCGAGAGAGAGCGAGAGAGAGCGAGAGGCCTTCAACAAGGGCTAGAAATGTAGCTCACTTGGTAAACACTTACCTACTATGCATGAGGCCCTGGGTTCAATCACCACACCACCACACTGGCTTCTTTGAAGTAGGTACTTATTCTCCAAGTGTGGTCTCAGGAACCACATCAGTATTACCCAGGAACTTGTTAAGAGTGCAATTTCTGGGCCCTATCCCAGAACTAAATCATAGTCTGGGTGTGGAGTTTAGCAAGATGCTTTAACAAGGTTGTGATGTCTGCAAAGTTTGAGATTCACTGCCTACATGGCCTAAGTCCATCTGTTTGCTGCTCAAAAGCCAATACATGAGATAGGTCAAAACCAGATTTATACAAGGGCTGGCCCCTTGAGAGGATGGGCAGCTACTGTCTGAAACAACCATTTTGCCATGCTTGCCTTGCAAGCACAAGGAGTTTGATCCCTGGGAAAGAAAAAGAAAGAAAAAGAAAGAAAAAGAAGAGAAGGAGGAGGAGGAG